ATATGTAAAAAAACATGAAACGATTCACACAGCTAACTTATAATTATTAGCTACAGCTCCCGTTGCAAGTTACATTCAGCTGGTCGTCTGTCGACGTGCAACCTGTCCATATGCTTGTTCTCAGTCAGAGAAAAACAGGTTTTACTGGCCTCCTCGTACAGTGGTGGAGCCATTCTTCTCTTCTTTCTACCTTGAGACTTCATCAGACACCACATCCCACAGCAGCCAAAAACCACACCACTGGCAGGACCACCAGCAGAGTGAGTGTTACTGCAATACCAGCAACAGCATCACCGAGAGGCCATTTTCATCACTACTACACTAGTAGTGATGGCTGTAGAGGCATTGCCAGTGCCATATATACTGTATATAGAAAAGTAAAATCTCAAATACACACTTATCATTCCGTGTAACATACAAGGCTGATTATAAAGCAGATGGTCTCATCAGGGCCTAAGGTGATAGACGCAGCATCCACACAGAAGGAGGCAGAGTCTCCAGAAGAGATGGTCATTTCGGTTGCTTCTGCTGGATCTCACACTCTCCTCCAGTCACGCGCTCTGGTCGAATGTTACCAGAACGGGAGATTTAATCTCTGGACACAGTGCATTTTTTCTCACAGTAACAATCAACAGCAACTGAGTAGTCAGCATCAAATCCTTTTCCACAATAACAGGCCGTGCTATAGAAGCAATTGGCATGGAGTGATTGGCTTTTCCCATACCTCATACCTAGATAAACAAACTCACTGTCAAATGTGCTGCTGTTTATAGTTGAACCAAGATCATTGGTGAGATTAACAGAGATTATGTAGACATCTCTGGGGACATTCACAGTGCAGTAGGTGCTATTAGAGGTGGCATCAGAACAGGCAGGATCTCCAGAAGATAACGTGTGACTACTGGCAGTCTCAACAGTGGGAGTGAGGTTCAGAATGAAATCCATATTAGGATAGACCACTCCTTCTTCCATGTCATACTACAGTCGTGTGCAAAGATAACTGCTAACAATGACCTAAGAGCTACAACCATCCTCACCGTCCATTCAATTGTCCATGGCAAGGATTCACAGGTGAACTGAACCGCAATGTTAGGTAGTGGGGGTGCTAAAAGAGTGTACAGATTCGCATGTACATGTACACAGTTCGTTAAAACACCACAGTGAATAAAAAAAAAAATTTCCAACCCTGGCACCACAACACGTGTGTGGAGAGGGGAGAAAAAAGCAGTGTTTATGCAGTGTTACCCAAGTGACTGAGCATCTGCATCATCTGTTATCACTTATTAACTACATCACTGAGATTTCACTAACACTTGGTGTGCATGCGCAGCGAGGGTTAGGGTCATTGGTTTGTAGTCTGTCCGATGGATCTTGTATCTCGCGCTATGACATGCAAAAAGAAATGTACTAGCATATGGGGTGTGAAGTTAATAAAAAGCCTGTTTCTTTAAAATCGCTCACCCAAAAAAATATAGCATGTTTTGTTTACCACGCAAGGTCTACTGCAGACATTTTATAAATTTCCTCCCATTAGCTACCATAAATCCCAAACCTTTCCATGGATTTGCACCAGGATTAGCTAAATCCTTATGTCTCCTTTCCATGGAAGGGCGTGACTTGCTATTAATGTGAACTACAGAATTTCTCATGGTGTTCATGAACAATGGTATTTTGACACTTGCAGTACAATCACCTGCAGCAGGTATGTTGATAGCTGCTGGCTGGCTTTCCTGGCCACATGTATTGATAGCTGAGACCATAACATCTCCATACGGATAAGAGGTAGTGTAGCTGACACTGTAACTGCCATCTGCAACTTCTAGCCTCCTTTCATTAGCACTGACAGAGTACTTCATGACAGCCACTCCCCCAGTATAGGAAGGTCTGGTCCACTGGAGATTCACTGAACTCTCTATCACAACTCTATCGTTGTAACTCAGATTTTTGGGAGGGTCTGGGGTACCTAATACAGGGATATTAAAACAACTATAAGTACATATGTGAACCAGGTGTTCTGCTTCATGTGCATGTGGAGGAAGTTGATCCTGCATTCGAGCTTTAAATCAGTATAGAATGCCACATTTGGATGCTTTTGTACATCATTCAAGTGATATATAAATTCTGGCGCCTTAGGCAAACAACTGGGGTTGCCCAAAGTAACAATTCTTACCACTGATAATTATTGAAGTGCTCTCTTTGACTAGAACTGCTCCACTGAGTCCCACACAAGTCAGATTTGATCCATTTACCGGCTCCATGACCAGTAGAGTTGAGGTGAAGAAAAACCTATTGTTACTATTGGGATCCCCTGTCCTGTCTGTCAGAGTAGCGCTGTATGCATTATCAGATGAAACATAAACAGCTCCAACGTTCTCTGCTTGACCAAATTCCAGAGTTTCACTGGTTGGTAGAATCCATTCCACTGCAAATGATGGTACCAATATCTGGCACCTGAACTGAATCATCTGCTGTGGACATGGCAACTGCTGCAGGGGATCTGGTTCAATCCTGACAACAGAAACATCCTGTGCTGCAGCTAAAGAATGTATGAATGTAGGAAATGTAGAATTGTAATGTTTAAAAACAACCTTGTGTAATCCAAAACTAGTGTCACAGCTACTTTCGTACGTTCAGTCTTGTTCAGATGTTACAAACAACATGACTCAACATTGTGTATTAGCGCTACACGAAATTTTCGTAAAAGTGCCGCGTTCTAAAGTTATGACGTGAAAACAAGCCAATATTAGCACAGGCGACCGGGCCCGCTTGCTCTGTGTATCTTGAAGGCACAAGAAGTCACAACGAAGGGCGTGTGCTGACTCCCGTGTGCTATCTACTACTGTAGCTAGCCCGTGTCAGACTCTCCGCGAGCTATATACTAGCCGGAGACCACGAGTATATACAATAGCCAGCCCATCAATTATCGGTATATACTGCGCATGCGCAGTTGATATGCACGTCAGTGCTACAATATTATCACACTAAATTGGCTCGTTTCCGCTCGCCAATTATTGACACAAAGTTACTCAAAGTCCTTGGTGCTACCTCTTGCCTAACTTGCATGCAGTACTACAATGACATGTGCCACACTCGCTGTCAATGAGGACAGTCAGTAAGTACAAGCTTAGACTATTCTTCCAGTGCCCTATGGCCCCCTTACGGTGTGTTGAACAGGTGAAGACTGTGACAAGCTAATGCAGATAAAACTTCGAACACCTACACGAAACAATCGTTTGACAAAGACCCAATAAAACGAAGACACGTTGCATCTGAAGAACAAAAATTATGGTAGCTATAGTACTACTTCTTACTCATGTACAGAGGAGATGTGAGGTCGTGAGACTATAAAAATAGCTAGCTACCTCACAACTAGCTACGTGGTGCGCGGAAGGCCAGGCCAACAATCTCCCAGGGGAGCTAAAAGGCTTCTAATATCCCCGTCCCTTCACTGGGCTCAGTATATCGTACTTCGTACTGTTTAGTCTTATAGGCACTTACAGGAAGAGTCGTCATGTTGGCTCTGGCACTGAAAAAGTAGCTAATAGTTACTCGACTAGCTATGTGGCCGTTGCTGACTATGAATAATCCATTGCATTGCGTCACCGCTGCGGCGTTATGCGTTCTGCCGAACGAGCCGTGACGGCAGCTATGAATATTCTAAGTGTTTACGCCCCTTTTCTCGTCTAGGGCACCTCCATTTATGGGTAGGCCAAGTGTTTACTCAGAAAGCCGGCAACAAACAGCTTCTTTGAAACAACAGATAGCTATAACCAATGAAGTTTTTTTGTTGCACATAAATATATCTCCCTGACAGTGATGCAGTGATGCATTAATGCACTGCCAATCAGTAATTGATGGATAGCTAGCTGTACTGTCGGAAAAGGAGTCGTTCTGGGCTCCTTTTCAGCTAAGCAATAATTTTTCACACGTAAGGAGAACGTGAGTTAGAATAACTTCTATGCATCTATCCCTCCATGATGTGAAACTATTAATAGCAGCAAAGGACAAAGAAACTCTCCTTCTTTTCCTTGTTTTGTATGAGTTGCACATCAACATTGAGGCTAAAAGGTAAAGGCAAAGCAGTTATTCTAACTCACGTTCTCCTTATGTGTGAAAAATTATTGCTTAGCTGAAAAGGAGATTGACTTTGTCCCAATCCGGAATGGATATACCTGCTAATCTCAATATTGCTTATTGAGTGCATAAAAGTAAGAAGCTACTCTACACTGGCTTTGATATTTTTGTACGTTCGAAGAACCGCGTTACGCGCGACCGTACACCCCTTACTGCGCATGCGCGCCAAGGTTTTGTGCTGTAGTCCTGCTGAGCAGCAACGCGACAATGGCGCTCTACGACAGGAGAACCATCACTTCCCTGAATGACCTGAGGACAGGAGAGCACATTATGATTGACAACGTATTACGACGACGATCTGCTCGCTCAAGCCCGTCTCAGGGAACCAGTCGTTCCAGTTCTTCCTGGAGTTCCTCGCTAAGTTTTTCATCTTCCGAGGGCACCTCCCTAGATAACGGCCATCACATGCTGGTAGTGGGGCCATTAAGCACCGAAAGTGTTCAAGTGATACACATGGCGGAGAGCGGAGTCAAAAACAAGAAGTTTTACTCCACGCGAAGAACGTGATTGTTTTAGAGGACGAATGTATATACGCATATCGGAGAAGAAGCCGTCAAGAACGCTCGGGCAAGCTTCGATACCCCCTTCGATCCGCTATACAGCAACGACGAACAGTTTGTGACTAATGCTAGAGGTTTGGTAAAGAGATGTGCTGGGGATGTAGCTGCTGAAGACAGCGCCCCACAGCAGGAGACACCGACAGGGAGCGCCCTCAGAGAAATTCAATCTCTCTTAGAGCTGAAACCCGGAGACCACATCCGTGAGGAACGCAATACTACCTACAAACACCATCTTCTAGTTGTGGATGTTGTCGATGTAAATCGTGTGCGTGTCATCCACAAGCTTGACACACGTGTTGTTGAAGAGATTAAGGTCTATCGACCCAACTAAATCAGAGTTTCGGACTATGATTGTCCCTACAGTGGAGAACAGATTGTTCAAAGAGCAAGAGAGCTACAACGCACGCCGTACAATGCAAGGACGAGCAACTGCGAGCATTTTGTGATGGAAGCACGCACCGGGCAGAGATCAAGTGTGCAGGTACGAAAGGGAGTCTTTCATGCAGTCTTCGGTGGTTTGGGGTGTGCAGCAGCAGGGGCAGCTACAGGAATATTAGCTGGGGGAGCATTTTGGTTTATACTAGGAGCTATAGTGGGAGGAATAGTGGGTGCAGTGGGGGAGCTACAGTTGGAACTGCAGGTGGAGTTGCTGTGGGGATCAGGGCTGCCAAGAGAAATTGAGCACCTAGAACGCTTTGTCATAATGAGTAAGAACAATGGAATCATTATTGTGTACTATTGTTGTAATTACTATGAAATGCATTGTTACCATAGGAGGCGGAAACAGGGGGACCAGGGGTACGTGCCCCTTTCAAAAACTAATTCCACCTTCGACACTCTATGACACACACTGCACAATCACAAGTAAGCACCAACCACTATGGCAGAAAAGGTGGTAACAGTCACACACACAGATAGACAGACAGACAGACAGACACACACACACACCAAGTACTGTAACCCTTGCTGTGCATGCGCGCCGAGGGTTAATGAGCTACACCTTCATAGGAAAGGAGAGCTGCCCTAGGCATTTTTGCATTACTGAAAGGGAACACAGTAGCTAATACTGCTGTAATGGTTAAATAATACATTTGGGGTTGTATCTATTTTAAATGGGAGACTTTAACCTTCATATCTAGCAGGTTCTGCTTTTTAACTCGTATAGGTTGTGCTATCATTGCGCAACTGTTACGCAAGCATATATAACTGGCAGCCCGGTTATTTTTTATAGTTTTCCCGGGTGAATTAGATTGTCATTTTTCATCTGACACTCTTTTAGAAAAATGTATGAGTTAGATCTTAATCATTATATTCCAGTCACTATGCCAATGTGTTTCTCGGTGGGTGCATAGTTTCACATGTTGCTGTACAATGGAGCATCGTCTACATCAATGTCTTCAGTCGGCGTTACATTAGTGACTCTAAACCAAGCCAAACATGATAATATATAAGTGCTATCGGGTTTTAGTTCCTCTCATGATGACTAATTATTTAGAGAAGAATTGCCGCATTATAGCTAATGTCTATCATCACCATGCACTCAATTGTTGCTATCTCCTCATTATGCTACTGAAACAGGTAGCTAGTGCTACCGAACATTGGCTTAGTCAGTGACATAAGATATCATATCCCTTTTGATGAATATCATTACTTGTCTTGCCATGGTGATTACTGCACACTCAAAGGAAGGTTCCTATTTTCGACAGATTGACATAGATGCAGTTATGGTCATGCATGCTATGTCAGACAGATTCTGGATAAGGGATTTTCCATTTCGAACTCAAGTTCACCAGTGATTGGAAGTCTGTCACCTCATAAGTAACAGACTGACTGACTGACAGACACACATGACAACTACCGTAACCTGCTGTGCATGCGCGCCGAGGTAAAGTATTTATCATTCCATTATCGTTTTTGGTTAGGTAAAGAGTTGCCCAGAATAGTGTAAGTGGGTAGAGAGCTAATCCAGCACGTATATATATATACACTCCAGTAGTTCGTTCCACTCTAAGGATGGTGCAGGTGACATCTTGCATGATTCATACATACACACCAGCAACAACTAATGGGGCCCATCTCTAGCTACGAGATTTCATGATTTGCAACTAACTCCTTACTGAAACTTGTCCAAGCACTGATTTTTAGGTGTTCACAAACGATTTTGTTTTCTCTGCCCTCTACGGCAGATCGTGAAGCTCTTCATGGTATATAGACATTGATGAACAACACCATTTTGCAGTCATTAGTTCCCCGTCAGATTTTTACAAGATGGACAAGTAGTTGGTTTAGGAGCTCTGCCTTAGGTTGAGAATAATAACAGAGTCCAGCAGGCCACTAGTCCACTCTGTCTACTCTCATTTTCCTTAGTAGTCATGGTCTTTGTAATGTGGTCTTAGTGTGCGAGTATACATTCTGGTAGGATAGTATTCATTCTCTTTGAGGGAAAATCAATGTTACAGTAGTAGCTAATTGACACAATAAGCTAACACAAAAAGGGAAGTATAGTATACAAGCAGTACGGTATGGTATGGATGGTATACGATTGAGCATAGTTACATTGTACATAGCTACATGATGTGCTACAGTTTTTATACTGCCACTTCTCCATAAGCAGAGTTGATATCAGTGGGTATGTCCGCACCTTCATTCACGGCCTTGTTTTGATTGGGATTAAGTCCAGTCTCCTCTTCAGCTGTAATGAAATCATCAGTCATGCACTAACTGTTAGCTTGTTCTTTTACAAAAATTGCAAAACAAAACAACACACACTACAGTACAGTCCTCTTAGTAGTAGTTCTAATTAGCCCGCTAGCCTAGGCAGAGTGCCTTTGTGTCACGTATGGAGTCAGGGCAAAGAATGACCATTCGTACCAGGCATACACATTATATCAGGATAGACATGGGAGTAAATGGACACTACACATGCACATTACACTGCATGGATTGATCACGAATGGTCATTCATAATAGTCCAATACACACATTTTCCTACTGAGCTACAGCAGACAGGACTGTACAATACAGAGGCAGACTTTACATATCCAAGGTCACTTCTAAATGACTTACCAATAAATGGTAAACTTGTGGCTTCAAAACTGGGTAGGTTTAGAAGCTCCAGGTAGCCAGAATCCTTCTCCAGTAAACAGTTTATTGTAGTAACCAGTCCACTGAACATGGGACGCATAGCTGTATCCAACTTCCAGCATGAACTCATAACTTGGTATCTGAAATGAATATAATCACCAATCCTGAAAGTTAAAATCAGCCAGCTTCTTGGTTGCAGTAATTATGACAAGAAGTAATATTCAAATTTAGAAGAATGTATAGGCAATGGAGCTGTTCAATATCTCTTTGCTGGTAAAAATGGTATGCAAATAAACACTAACATGTCATCACTGCAGGCTTTATTGTCAGGGATCTCCAGAACTGCTCCTCTCTCTAGCTCATGGAGGATGCCCATGGCATGTATTCCATTATATGGCACATTCCCACATGTAAATATTTCCCACATTGTCACACCAAAATGACCACTGCAATAAAATTACATTTGTTTGCACATTCCAGGAAAGACTTTATTTTTCTCACAACATCAGTAGCCTCATTGTAGATGTCATTCTTGATGCTCTCTGGAGCCATCCATCTAATGGGGACTTTCTCTTCACCGCCAGGTTCACTCTTGTCTCGACGAAAGTACTTTCTGCAGTACATATCTTCTGTTAGTCCAAAATCAGCAACTTTTACGATTCCCTTTTCATCGATCCTGAAAAGAGACAGTTTAAACGTGGAACATTAGAACTAGTCCTAAATCAGACATGCAGTTCCTTGCTGCCAAGTCACGATGAACAAACTTGTGTCCTGAAGGTATTCCATCCCCTTGTGATGTGGTATGCCATATTTAGCATAATCTACGGCTTCTTCCATCTATATCATGAAGTGATCTCTGAAAGTGTTTTTGTAACTCTAGTTACATACCTTTTCCTTCGCACATTCATTCACAAAAGCAGTTCTCTCCTTGTGACGTTGACATAGTGTAAAATACTTCCATTAATCATGAATGGCATGATAAGGAGGGGCATTTCTCTATCAATGCACACTCCAATAGAGACATCACATAGTGTGCTCGAACGACAACATTGTAGACACCTCCCTTGCCAGTCTCTCCAGATCAACAGTAGAGAATAGTGCTAGGGTGTTTCAGTTGTATATATCCTTGATAAGTCACACAAATGAAATTGATCTACCTTTCCTGTTTTACTGCAACAAGTTTGTTTCCAACTGCACTTTTGATATAGGCTTTGTAAACCAGCCCAGACTCCCCTACATTACATGTGCACTATAGTGAGCATGAAATACCATGAAAAAGTAAACCCTACCTTGTCCCCACAGTCGTGGATAACTGTATTGATCTTTTTGAAATAGATCATATTCTTATTTTGTAGCTCTTCTCGCAGGTGTTGGAGTCTGATCGACTGGCTGCTCTCACCTGTACTAATCAAAACTGAAGTAGAACATTTGCATAGGCAAACCTCTTTGTTACCCAGAGTAGCATAAACGTTTGAAATTCCAGCATCATGAGCAACAGCAACAGCTTTTTGCCTGGATGCAAACAGATGCACATTCATAGTAATTGTGACGAAAAGGTGAAAAAGCTCACCGATTATATTGTCTCCATCTCCTATACAGCATAACAATTACAATAATAGCTAATAGGACAAGCAATGTTACTAGTACAATTGCTGCAACAGTTGCACCATTTAGAGACGAATTTGATGAAGATATTTGTGCTGAACATCCACATCTTTCTGGCATTTGAACATCCACATCCATTGTTGATTTATCCACATCAATGAAAACACGGTTGTTTTCGTTGTGCTCTCCCAGTGATAAAGAAAGTTTGCTTTTAGTGCAGTTGGGGAAATAGTGACAGAGGGCACTTGAAAAATCAACAGACAGGTCGAAACACTGAATATCAGTCAAGTTTGTTTGATTAACCTCAAAATACAGTCTTGCTGGTATAGGTGCCATTAAAACTGCATGTGTGGGTGAAAGCTGAAAGTGTGTGGGCATTTTGAACAATTCAAACCATTAGATATTTCAAACGTACATTTTTTGCCATTATGAGACGTGATGTTGATGAAAAACTGTTCCTCTATTCCAGGAGATGTGCTGTTCACACAAACTTCAACTGACTCATGATTCTCAGAAAGGTTGACGACACTGGGTTCTTCAAACCCAACCCTCACAACTGCGAGACAAGAGAAGATAATTTCAGGAAAATAAATGGCACCTCTACTTTACGTAGGTCTATCCCTTGATGTTTACCGCTATCTTCATAAGCATACTACAAATGCAGAAAGTAAATACAGTACTAGTTCTAACTTACAGCACTCCATTTCTGAAGTATCGTCAATGACAATAGTTGCAAGAGAACGTTTTAAATCTATCCTTATTGGTATTTTTCCGGTAGCAATTATTGCAAGTCTGATCTGAAAGCCTTGTTGAGGTATTCCTAGTTCACACATGTTATCATCCTTAATGCTGTAATTGTGACACTCCACTGATGCTCCAATCACAAACTCTATTGTCTTGTAACAGTCTTTAACTGCATTTGCCGTCTCAAACCCTGTTATTACTATGAAAATATTCATAGTCCGGTGTTACACTTATGTATACCTTCATCAGGTAGTAGAGCAATCGTGAATGGCTCTAAAGCCTCTCCATTAAATGAGTTTAGGATCTTAACACAAACAGATACCTCTCCAAGAGACTCAGTAGTTGTGTACTCTTTAGAACTAAAGCCAATCACCATACCTGTGTGAAGAGTGTATATGAATGAGTGCAAAGGGATAGGTTTTTCGTACAGTACAGTTTGACATACAACTTGACACATACAATGTATGGCTAATAAAGATCTCTAGTTGGAGGGATCTACGGGATTTCAATGAACCCAATGGTCTCTGTATTTGGAGCAGTGAGGACACTACACAGGAGGCCCCAGCCATAGGGTTTACTGAAATCCAATGGATACTTAGTGACATAAGTTTTGCATCAAACTGTGCTATGAGAAACTCAAGAAAGTTAAATTGTAGAGTTGAATGCAACAATAAGCCTACATACTTGATTACCGTCATCATCCATGATGGTGACAACTGCCGACTCAGGACTGAGACTAATCCTACTGTCAAGGTTCGGGGTCCTCTCCAGTACAATGCCAAAGGATTCATCATACTCAGTAATGTTGTCATTCAGAATTGATATATCTGCACATGCCTTATTCTGACAAGCACTGAACCTCAGATATACTGGAGAATGTCCGTAGTCATTCCGGTATTCTGTAATATTTATGTCATTATCTCTAAAACACAATCTTTTCAGTTCCTACCAGCACTCATGTCTCGAAGGTTGAGTGAGACTTCAAACTCGTAGTTTACAGCACATTCAATGATGTCTGATGTGTTTAGCACACCACACACCACTACTGATAATCTATTCTCTGACACATTATACCTGCTATGCTCTTGAGTGACCGTAACGTAATCTGGAAGTGTATGTCATAAAGAAACAAAAAGTGTTGTGCAAGGAGATTAGTATGGTATTGCTGTAAAATATATATTTCACACTTACGATCATCATCAACAATCGTGATTGTAGCTTGGGAATCTGCTCTCTCAGGACTCAGTATTATGACACCAGTTGGGCTTGCAAGACCCAGTACTACAGTCTTATTTCCTTCCACGAGGTCATTGTTGGCAACATTCAAACGGAAACATTCCATGTAAGTCGATTGAGAGGAACTATTTGTCACAAACTGATCCTTAGCCTTAAAATAGGTGAGAGTCTCGATTGATTCATCCATTCCTTCGTAATCTAAAAACAACACATGTAGCCACAACTGTGCACTTATACAGAATGCTATGATAATATACCTAATGAGGACGCTGTGTCATTCAATATCACTATAGACACTCTGCTCACTTCAATTAGTGGACTCTCAAATGAATTGTTAGACACAAGTGAAACACAAACTCTTAGTCTCCTTTCTGCATCCTCTCTCACAGTCAAGGTATTAGGATAGAAGACAGCAGTGACATCTGCATGCAACACACACTATGAAGATGGTTTCTCTTTGAATATTATGTTATTGACATACCGTAAGATATGGTCTCATATATAAACAGTCTCGCAACTTCAACATAGCGCACGCCTAGAGTAGTAACAGTCAGAACAATCCTGTATCTATCTACTGGAGCAGTAAACATGGCCAAAACTATCTGAAAGCGAAAGCAGTACTGTGTTTGATCTGTTCTGATAACAAAGTACAAACTGGAGTTTATTAGTCCTGCAATAGAAATTAATGTAAACAGAATTAAGCATAATGCCATAGTTAGAGTTATACCTTGGGGTTCTCTACCGAAAAATCATATGTACTGATAGATGCATGGATAGGAGGTAAAGCATCCTCTCCCATATCGAACTGGGTTTGCTGAAGACCTAAAATTACACATATGTCTTGGGTGACTCCATCCATTGCACTTCCATAATAGTTATTTTGATCAAATTCAGCTCTCACTTTTGGAAATGAAATATTAAACTATTATCCCAGCACGTCAAGATTTTGGAAAAATACCTATGCATACTCCTGCTGAATACTCAATAAAACCCTGGCAGACAGTCCGACACAACTGACAACCAGTCTCAGACGGAATGCATTCCCTATTGTAGGGACATCCTCCGTAGTATGGCATGAGACACTTGTCTGTAAAACACACAAGTGGAAGAGTCATACAGGGATGGCTTGAAACACCAAAACATAAAGCAATGTGGAGTGGTTGTTACACAGCAAAGGCACAAAGTTACACAACACCATTTCTTTTATGCTGACACTCCAACACTATCATGTTGTATTAGCTAATCAATGACACTCGGCACTACATTATACAGGAGTGTTGTATATTACTATACTCTCACAGAGAACATTGGTCTCATCCTCTCCATTCTCACAGTCTTTGACAACCGTTACACAGAGCATCAATGAGAAGGTACTCCTCAGTTGAAGAGCACTGAAATGTCCTGTACCTGATATTGAAAATAAACTTATCACCCATTCCCACGAGTAACTACTTGGTAGCAACAAGTAGGTGGACAGAAAGTTCATGAATAGACAGTCGAAAGTGTTGTGTCAGTTACGTTATGGCAGGTGTTTCACGTATATTTTGCTTACATTCAACTCTAGTTGGCTACGATTATGTGTAAGAGGTGGCATTGGATGGCTTTTCTCTGTGATATATACTATAAGGACATTCTTGGCGATTACTGATGTAGCTGTCACTAGGTGTTTCATATTAGACTACTACCGATACTGATGCAGCCAAAAACATCTAACGTACAACAGATAATAGGTGTGTAGGTATAGTAGCAAGCCGTACAGCAAAGAGATTCTCGTAGTGAGTAAAAAAGTATCTTCT